TCCCAGAAAATCTCAGAGGGCCTCAAGGTTGAAAAGTCCTACATTTACACAGCTTCAAAGACGTTGCCATCTGCAAGGCCTGGGAGGATAGGAAGCCGCTGGGTAGTTTTGCCAGTGGAGAGAGAGTAGCTGGAGAAAGGTGCTGGGCATAGACGAGGCACCCGTCTGTCGTAGCATCACTCATGCTTCCTCAGGCCTGCGTGGTGGAGCTGGGTCTTGTTACCGCCATCTTATAGATGGGACCCAGGCAGCCTGAGGGCCCTGCCCACGGTCTGAGTGTGCAACTGTGCTCTGCCCTTTTCAGCCCCTGCTTCCTGTCCCTAGAGAGCAGTCTTGTCTGCAAATGGGCCCACACGGTGATTTCAGAAGCCCCCTTGTCCAAGAGACTGTGTGAAGTCAGATGGCCCAGTGGTCCNGATTTCGCAGAAGATACTATTGGAAATCAAAGGGCTGGAGGAATGGCCCCATTCTTCCTGATACCCAAGGAGCCATGCCAGAAAGTCTCAGAGGGCCTCAAGGTTGAAAAGTCCTACATTTACACAGCTTCAAAGATGTTGCCATCTGCAAGTCCTGGGAGGATAGGAAGCCGCTGGGTAGTTTTGCCAGTGGAGAGAGAGTAGCTGGAGAAAGGTGCTGGGCGTAGACGAGGCACCTGTCTGTCGTAGCATCACTCATGCTTCCTCAGGCCTGCGTGGTGGAGCTGGGTCTTGTTACCACCATCTTATAGATGGGACCCAGGCAGCCTGAGGGCCCTGCCCATGGTCTGAGTGTGCAACTGTGCTCTGCCCTTTTCAGCCCCTGCTCCCTGTCCCTAGAGAGCAGTCTTGTCTGCAAATGGGCCCACTCGGTGATTTCAGAAGCCCCCTTGTCCAAGAGACTGTGTGAAGTCAGATGGCCCAGTGGTCCAGTGTGGGCTCCTGCAGCTCACCTTGGCAAGTCTCTGCCCTGCCGCTCGGAGGGGCAACCTGAACGGTGGGGTGGGACAACAGCTCCTGTTAGCCCTTTCTGTTCTCACTTTGCAGGGGGGTAAAGAACACCTTGATGACTTCCAGTTAAAGAAGAGTCAGGCAAGAAGCTGAATGGACTCATTCCTAATGACAACTGTAAATCACTTCTCATTCACTATAGGAGAGAAGGTGAACTTATGCCTGCAGCTTTATCTTCTGAAACAATGTCCCATAAACCTAAAGTTACCAGTAAAAAAAAAAAAAAAAAAGAAGTGATGCAATCTGACTTAGGCTTTAAAATGATCTTTCTGAATGCTTTGCTGGAAATAGACATGGGTGGGTGTTGAGAGGTGAGGAGGGCTGAAGTCAGGGAAAGCAAATTGAAATGCTGAAGCAAGAACCCAGAGAAATGCAATGTTGGTTACACTAGGGTAAAAGCATAGGATAACGGGAGCGGGTCTGATTCTTGCTGTATTTTAAAGCCTATAGGATTTGCTGATTGATTAGTTATGGGGTATGAGATAGAAGAGGAATCAAGGTGGCAGCAGAGACTTCGGCCTGAGCAACTGAAAGAATAAAATTGCCATCCAATGAGAAAAACTGTGAAATGAATATAAGGTTTAGCAGAAAATGAGTTTAGATCTGAACATGTTAGGTTAGAGACACCTATTAGAAACCCAAGCAGAGGTCTCTTGGAGGTAGTTGGATATATGAGTCTGTAGTTCAGGGAATAGGTCTGGGCTAGGGATGGAAATTTGGGGTCATCGCCATAACACGAACTCCTTAAATAACTTCACCCACACCATAAAAATATTTTCAATTTTATAAGAACATTAAAAAAACCTCACTTAAGTCAGAAAATAATAGGCATGTATAATTGAGTTCTTCTTGCAAGTAAAGTCATACTGATTATTATTTTTAGATCAATTGATGCTGCTTAGGTGAAATTCCACTTTCGAACAATGTCTTTTATTGCTTTGGATGATTACTCTAGCTTATTAAAAACATTGCTCTAGTGTTCTCCCTCTACACAGAGCAACTGTTGACTTAAATGAAACTTGTGCTGTACCGGAGGGAGGTTTCACAAGCAATTATTGGATTTTAAATTTATGATTTCATTAAATCTAGGTCCTCATTACAGAGAGGGTAAAAAAAAAATACAGAAGTTCAAAAGATGAATTGACTTTCCCAAAGTCATATGCAAATAGTGAACTTATTAATTACTTAATGCAACAAATAATTACTGAGTACTATGTGCTGGATGATATTCTAAAGGTTGGGGATAAAGATCATCATGTGGAATTTACAGTCCCTTTGGGGGAATGAAAACAAATAAACATGCAAATGTACAATATTACAGATAATTGGTAGGTGTCATGAAGAAGAATGGAACATGGATTGACGTTATCTAATTTTTGTTTGAATAGTAATAATCTGGCTGCCGTATTAACAGTAGATTGGGTTGGGGTGGGGGAAATAACAACAATACCATTTACAAAACCAGCAAAACAAAATGATCAAACAACCTTAGCAATAAACTTAACAAAAGAAGTACAAGTCTCCTGCCTGAAAATTTTACTGCTAAAATCAAAGACCTAAATCTACGGAATATGTTGTCCTTATAGGTTAGAAGACTCAGTAGTATAGGAATGTTGATTTTTCCAAAATTCTATGGATTCAATACATTTTCAATCAAAATTCCCTTTTTGTTGTTGTTGTTGTTGTTGTTTTTGGTAGAAATTGACAAACTGGTACTAATACGAGGGTACTTCAAAAAATTCATTACAAAAATTTGTATTCTCTTTTAATTCTATTTTTCCACAAACTTTGTGAAGTATTCGTGTATTTATATAGAAATGCCAATGACTTGGAATAATTTTTTAAAAATTGAACAAACGTGAAATATTTGCATTATTTTAAGAATTACTATAAAACTACAATAATTATAGGTATGGAATAGAAGGAAATAGATCAATTAATCAAAATAGGAAGTCCAGAAATAGATTCACACACAGTAAAATGCGGTAAATTTATTTTTACAAAGGCAACAATGAAATTTAAAGTGGACAAACTCTCCTATCCATAAGACAACTATGATTTCAGTTAACTGTGAGTGTAGTTCCAGCATGAATGTTTGGTGATATTTTCTTTTTCATTAATGAGGAAGATAAAAGTGAAGCAACTAAAATGTATATAAAAACTTGACTCATTTATCATTGGCATGAGAAACTTCTTGTTGAATTAGGTCATAGTTTTTGCAGATTGGAAAAATATTTCCTAAATGTTTTGCAGTACTAACAATATAATGGTTATAGAAGATTATATGTGTTTTTCAATATGTGGGAACAAAAAAACAAACTTGATTATAATTCTCTTCACATACAAAAATTAACTCAAGGTATATTGTAGATCTAAACATAAAAATTCAGTGTAAAATATTTCCAAAAGAAA